ATATTATTGGACATAGCTAAATTTCTTGGATCGTATTAACCCTACTCATGAGATTAATGGTGGGAAATTTCGATGCGTCCTAAAATTTTGCTATATTTTGCCTAACTATTGCCCAAGTGGAATATAATGCCTTTTTACTCGCTTCTCTGAGAAGTCCACGTGATGGGAGATCAATAAATCGCTATTTAAATGCCTTAACGCGATCACCAGCTCCACCGTATGACGGCTAATCTTTCGATCATGGCAGCATCACCAGGCCCGGGGAAGCCCTTTCCTTTGACTCGGAAGGCCAACAATCCTGGCTTTGGCCAACAGTCATCTCGAGCTCCCAACACATTTCAACTTGCACCGGTAAAAGGGTATGCCTTCGCCACCCACTGTGGAGAGATTCGTAACATCATTCGATCCACGTTAGACGAAGCACTGGTCGACAGCCAGTCTGACCTGCAGCAGACACTCATGGATGCGTTGGGCAAGATAAAATCTGAACTTCTACAGATTCAAGCATTGTTCTTTCCTCGTCATCGACTCGTAGTTCATGGGATAATCGGTGGTGTTGTGCATAACCAGCCTTCGATCATCTACGGTAGCCAGTGTCTCGGGGAGCATGAATGCGGTGACGATGGCGTCAGTGTTTCAGTTAGGAGTCATGACAAATTCATTTGTGTCAGTGCATATGGATTTTATCAGAGTTAGACCTTATATGCCTACATTTTGCGATGTTTTATCAATACAAGCAAATGAAATACAATAGGATTTGTATAGCTAAACTTCACATCATTTACATGAGTGGTGCATTTTTTAATCTACCACACAAAGGAGGACAGTTTTGCTGCAGCCGATCATAAAATACTCTTTGCGCCTTTTTTATGTCTCTGCCTTAGCCCTTCAGACTTAAGAAAATTTGAGACAGCTTTTTACTAGATAATTTTAAAATGTTCCCTAAGGGAGAACCTCCATTCTGAATTTTGCAAAGTGAAACAAATACATTTAGATATTTAAGGTTGACTATGCAGGCATTTACTGCTTTATTAGTTCCACCTAATGCTCTTTTAGCTTATTCACTAACACCATTTATATGGAGATGGTAAAACCTGTGCTCATCTTATCTGTGGCGCTAGTTCAGCACTAACCAGGCTGGGTAGTAGACCTTTTTCGCAAAAAAATAAGCGCAAGCCATAAGTTGCT